TCAATGATTATAATTATACCTTAAAGTTCAAAGAACTAAATATGCCGAAGCATTTGTATCTTTTAAATTCGGAATTGTATTGCCCATTTGGTGCACAATTAATTTGAAATCGGATAAAGATGTATATGGGAGCTATATCCAAATCTGAACCGATCTCGATAAAATTTGGCAAAGATATTTCTGAGCTGTATTTGATATATTTCCCTGAATATCGTTGTTACGGAGTGAATACTACGGCTGTGGGTAACAAATATGACAAATCGGATGAACAGTATACATGGGAGCTATAGCTACATCTGAACCGATCTTCACCAAATTTGACATACTACCTTCTAGACCCGATTCGGTCGTAAGTGCCAAATTCCATCCCATTTGGACAAATATTAGACGTTTGGTGCACAATAAAAGGTAAATCGGACGAAGTTATATATGGGAGCTATATCCAAATCTGAACCGATCTCGATAAAATTTAGCAAATGTATTTCTGAGCTGTATTTGATATATTTCCCAAAATATTGTTGTTGCATAGTGCATATTACGGCGGCGGTGGACAAAAATAACAAATCGGATGAACAATATATATGGGAGCTATAGCTATATCTGAACCGATTTCAATCAAATTTGGCATACATATTTTCAGACCTAGTTTGGGTGTATATGCAAAATTCCATACAATTCGGGCTGATATTACACGTTTGGTGCACAATAAATGGCAAATCGGACGAAGATATATATGGGAGCTGTATCTAAATTTTGACCGATTATTTCCAATTTCAATAGGGTTCGTCCTTGGGCCAAACAAATGATTTGTGCAAAATTTCATCTGGATCGGGCAATAAATGCGACCTGTACTTTGTTTACAAAAATACATGGACAGACGGACGGACGGACATGCATAAATCGACTCAGAATGTGATTCTATGCAGATCATCAGAAGGAACTATGGGTCTATCTCGTTTCCTTCTGCCTGTTACAAACAAATGCACAAAGACATAATACCCTGACCACCTTGTGGTGTAGGGTATAAAAAGTGTTTTTTCCTGCACAGAAATAGAAAGAATAATCCGATTTGGCTTCAACTTTGCAAGTCCTAATATTTGCACCAGTGCTAGGTCAGGTGCAAAAAAAGGACAATATAGGTCCACTCCATCACGTGCTTCACAACAAAGGGTCAAAATTGTGATGTAAATTAAACAAATCACAATATTTTTATTAATCCAAGGTCAAGTGTGAAGATGGAATATATCGGTCAACTCCTTCTGGTACTTGCCTCACAAAGAGTCAACATTTTGGATATCCATGAAGCTCATAGAACCCAAAACAAATTCCGATTTCATTCAGACTTGACCACTTATAACAACATCAGTTATATAGATGGTAGAGATCGGACCATTCCTTCTGGTACCTCCTCCACTAAGGGTCGAAGTTTTTAATAACCAAAACGGTTATAAAATCCGAAATAAATATAAAGTTTTACACATCCCATTATTTCTACTAACATAATATCTGCGGTGAAGATAGGATATAACGGTCCGCTCCTTCTTGTACCTCCCATACAAAGGGTTAAAATTTTGAATAATTATAACTCTTATAAATTGTGACGTAGAAGTCCTAGTTACAATATTTTCTATTAACTCAAGGTCGGATATGAAGATAGAATATATCGGTCAACTCATTCTGGTACCTCCCACACAAAAGTTCACAATTTTGAATATCAATGAAACTCATAAAATGTACATACTTTTATCAGTCATAACTGACGAAACAAATCAGCGATTCTTTACAACTTGCTATATCTAAATATTTCTCTCAACCAGAAACCCGATAAGAATATGGGATTTATTAGAATTTATGATTTCGCATAAAATTGGAGATACATGTTCGATTTTCTTATAATTTTGTCCATACCAATATTTTGATCTGCATTGGATGCAGTATTAAAATGGAATACTTCGGTCGACTATATCTGGTACTTCACGCACATTTTAACATTTTCTAAATATTATCACATTTCTCATATAAAGTTAAAGAAGTAATCAATATAGTCTAAACCTGGCACGTCGCAATATTTAAATCATATTTATTTGGGTCTGATACGAAATGGACAATATTGGCCCATTCCATCGGAACCTGGATTTTCGTCCTTAGGTCCGATACGAAGGTCCGATACGAAGTGGGCAATATTGGCCCATTCCATCGGAACGTGAATTTTCGATCGTGTTCAACTTTAAAGTACAAACTCCAATAAGATCGGTAGGCAGCCTATATAGACAATTTTATATTACAACGACTGTAAGCTATTGCGAGTCTTAAATACCAAATTTTACATAATTTCGTGGATAAATTTGACTAGAACCAGGGACCGATATGAACAATGTTTTGACGCCAGTTGTAGAGTCCATTGTAAAGTGTAAATACCAAATTTCACACAAATCTATTAGAAAATATGGCTAAAATCAAAGTCAAAATACTATATATCCGACAGAACAGTTATATGTGCGCTATAGGAAAACGTTGACCTAGATATTCAATGTTTTTCCATTTCGAATGCTGGAGCCCATTTCGAACCACAAATACAAATTTTTAGATAAATAATGTGGGCAAAACCATCAAAATACCGAATATCGGGAGCTATAGTAGTACGGGGGCAATACGAAAATGTCGAAATCCATTTTGGAAGATTTCGTTTTTGGAATAATGTCATGGAGCACTGGTCAGATATTACCCTTAGCATTTTCACCAGGGACATTTGCCCAATATTTAGGCACTCCGTCGTGCAGTTAGTTGTTACAACTAAATATAATCCAATGGTCATCACATTCACATGCAAAATTCCGTATCAATTGGTTCAAATTGAGTAATCAGGAAAATTTTTCTGTTCTTGGTTCATTCGAATTCCTAAATATTTTGCTATCATTTCCAAAAGCCAGAAGCTCCTCTGTATCTCCAAATTTAGACTCATCGGTATGATTTGCTTGTCAACGATATTTGGCTATATTCGTCAACGAAATCAGCATAAAAAGTCACAGGTTCGCCTTTGTTGTATTTTGGATTTTTATCAGCGTTTCGGTATAATGACAATATTATTTTTTTTAAAGATAGTGGTCCATTCAACCCGCTTTCCTACAATCTAACTTTATGCGAGATTTCGTGTCCATTGATTACTATTTGTGGACTTTATAACGGCTGCAAAATCAGGAACATTTTTAGTTGTTGGTCCATTTCAATCTCTAAATATATTGCGAACATCTTTAAAAATGATACACCTAGCCCTTCTGAGCCTAACCCTACCTTTATGGAAATTTTCGTGAGGATCGGACGATAATTGCAATCTGTATATAATAACCTAAACCTGGGTTATAAGATGAAAAAATATTACAAAATTTACACTTCAATATTATATCTCAAATTGAAACCAGTAAAGAAAGTCTTAAACTCGGGCGGGGCCGACTTTATGATTCCCTACACAACTTTGCTAATTTAGTAGAGCTCCACATAACAATTAAATTTTTTTATGGGAGAATTCAATCATACACGCTTTGATTATAATTATAATTTAAAGTTCAAAGGACTAAATATGCCGAAGCATTTGTATTTTTTATACTCGGACTTGTATTGCCCATTTGATATATATGGGAGCTATATCCAAATCTAAACCGATCTTGATAGACTTTGACAAAGATATTTCTGAGCTGTATTTGATATATTTCCCTGAATATCGTTGTTACGGAGTGTACATTACGGCTGTGGGTAACAAATATAACAATTCGGGTGAATCGTAGATATGGGAGCTATAGCTATATCTAAAACGATCTTCACCAAATTTGACATACTAGCTTCTAGACTCAATTCGCTCGTAAGTGCTAAATTTCATCCCTTTTGGGCAAATATTAGACATTTGGTGTACAATAAAAGGTAAATCGGACGAAGTTATATATGGGAGCTATATCCAAATCTGAACCGATCCCGATAAAATTTAGCAAGTGTATTTCTGAGCTGCATTTGATATATTTCCCCATATATTGTTGTTACAGAGTGCATATTACGGCTGCGGAGCAATAAAATAACAAATCGGATGAACAATATATATGGGAGCTATAGCTATATCTGAACCGATTTCGATAAAATTTGGCATACTTATTTTCAGGCCTAATTTGGTTGTCTGTGCAAAATTCCATACTATTCGGGCTGATATCACACGTTTGGTGCAAAATAAAAGGAAAATCGGACGAAGATATATATGGGAGCTATATCTAAATTTTTACCGATTATCTCCGATTTCAATAGGGTTCGTCCTTGGGCCAAACAAGTGATTTGTGCAAAATTTCATCTGGATCGGGTAATAAATGCGAACTGTACTTTGTTCACAAAAATACATGGATAGACGGACGGACGGTCGGATATGCATAAATCGACTCAGAATGTTATTCTATGCACATCATCAAAACGAACTATGGGTCTATCTCGTTTCCTTTTGCCTGTTACAAACAAATGCACAAAGACATAATAATCTGACCACCTTGTGGTATAGGATATAAAAATCGCATGCGATAAAAAAGAAAAAAAAATAAATAATAGGAGAGTTTTTTTAGTTTTATATCAGGTTTTTGTCTGGGATATTCTCCCCAAGAGTTATTCTAAAAAAATAACCACTATGACAAAAAACTGTTTTACCCAAGTGACGAGATCGTGTGCTTAATAGAAGACGAACGAAAGAATTGCATAGAACTAAAATTCTTTTGGAAAATCTTTAAAATCTTATAACCTCACTTACATTTGCTTGTCTACGATATAAGCATTCTAGCTAAATTGGAAAAATTGTTAACATTTATTTTTCTTAGCTGAATCAAGTTTGTAGCACACCGTACAACAAACCACCATGCGAGCTTGTATACACATTTCTAATTTAAATATAGAATTTAAAATATTCCATACATTTCTAAAAAATTCTAATCATTTATCTAACCTCATATTTATTTTCTCTCTCTCTCTCATTACAGGTTTTTCAAAATTCTCTTAATCTAAGGGGTTTTACATCACAATGAAGAGAGCCAAACGATGGAGTTTAATAGCAGCTGGTAAGACAATTAAAAAACAAAAATAACCTGTCAAAATCAAGAAAAAAAAAACAAACGACACCTACTAATACTTATAAATTTAAAACCTTGAGACAACACACTTCAGACTAGGAAAACTACAAAGCCATCAAGTTCATTATCATCACGCTTTTGATCATCATAAACTACTAATATTCGTATAGATTTTACAAAATTATCTATCTTTTTAATTAATTTCATTGTCAAGGCTCCCTTATTTGTTCGTTATTGATTTATGACAACAAACACTTCATCTTCTTCTTCTTTTTGTTCTTCATTCTCTCTTTGCAGTTCTTTTAGTTTTTGCCATAGCTCAACAGGTTGATGCTGTTGCGCCATTCAAAAAAGTTTCCATTGCCCCCAAGACCACATCAACAACAACACCCACAACACCAGGTGCTGCCGCAAGCGAGGCAAGTTCTGATGAATCTTCAACGGCGGGTGAGGAGAAAGTGGAAGAACAAAAGGTAAGTAAAAATGATATTAGAAAAGTCGCCTCTCTTGAAATGAAAAGTGTTTTCGAATTTTGTTATTTTTTATTTGATCAGGCCACTGGCCGGTCAATCAAATACTTGTGTAGTTTGTTTATTAATTAGCTAGGGGTAAGTGCACACATTGCGTTCCACTTACTTAGTTAACCTTTTATGGTAGGCCATTTTGAGTGTCGTCAGAAATATTGTCGGCCTAGGCGAAAGTATTTTCTTTTATTTGAAAATCAAATCACGTTTATTGGAAAAGAATAACGCAGAGTTTTTTTGAATTCTATTTTCTATTTCTACTGTTAACCGAGGCTATTAACCTTCGAGCATGTGTGACGAACCTCAAATATTTTTTGTGAGAATTTTTTAAGTAATATTAAATTATTATAAGTGGGTGGATACTGATAGTCAAGATGAATTCTACACAAATGCTTAAATTTTGTACGAAAATGTGTATTTGGCACTTTATTGAAAGTGATATTAATAATCTGAACTTCTGATTTGTGATAACACACAATATTGACCATTTATAGGGAGTTATCGAAAAACATAGAGCGACATCTTTCCACTTGATTTTGAGAAATATGGACGAAATCCGTTTATATGAGAATTAAGATCTTTATACCCTGCGAAACTATTATTGTTGGAGGTTTTATAAAGTTGAGTCGAAAAGTTGATTCTAGACCCATGATGATAGATATTGCTATTCTTATTTCGCCAATCTGAATCGATCTAGCCATGTGTGTGCGTCCATCAGTTCGCCAGTCCATATTAATTTGTAATCACGCATTAGGTTGCAATTATAGACAGATCCACATGGTTTACGGTCAGAAATTTTGCCTGATTTTTCAATCCTTCTACAGGTCACAAAAAAAGATCTATCTATGGGAAATTCAGCATGAAGTTAGAGTTTATGACAGGGCAGAAGCCTACCATTTTGGATAGTCATCAGATATTATTGAGAGGGTGAAATTGAAACACGATCGATTTCAAACTTGAAGAAAGTTTTTCAAATGTGGTGGAAATCAGTTTAAATGTAACTATGGGTCTCATATATATAACTAGCAAGTGCCCGCTGCATCGTCAGGAAAAATTCCACCTTTATGTACTTAAAATGCACAATTTGTTCAGTTTTGCAATATTTTTATACCCTCCACCATGGTATGGAGGGTATATTAAGTTTGTTTGTCACCTCGAAATATACATTTCGATCAGCATAAAATTTTTGATCAGCATAAAATTGTATTTCGAATTAGCGATGACCGTCCGTCTGTCCGTCTGTGGAAACCACTCTAGCTTCCGAACAAAATTAAGTAGATTGATAAAATTTTAATCAAATGTACATTATGTCTGCAGGACTTTTGGTACTGCAAATTGGCCATGTAGGTCCACGTCGCCGCCAAATCTCAAACACAGATATCATCAGTGTTTTAAATACCAAATATTAGAATTTTATCTCAATTCCGTCACCAAATACCAAATATAGTACCATTCAATACTATTTGTTCAATAATAGTACACATTTACCAAAGCTACCTCCCTATGTCCATGCTCAACATGAAAGCGACTCTAAGCCGAATTCTAGACTTCAAGCTTGTTATAATTTAAAATTCATATGTTATGTTCGTTCCATACCAAATTGTACTAAATATAGTACTGTTTAGTACACTTGTAGACATTTCCGAAACCAAATTTATACACAAGCCCACTGCCAACATGAATCTCAATACAAAATATGAAAATTTCAGCATCATCAACCTGAATCAACCTGAATCCAAATTTAGTACCATTTAGTAGAGTACGGACACTTCTTAAACTTTTTCGAAACCACCTTCGTACATCAAACTTACTTTCTAACTTTAATTCTAACACCAAACTTCAATTTTTTCGCTCTTTCCATTCGTATTATATGAATGGTACCAAATTGGTACCATTTGGGAAGTTTAGTAACATTTTAGAACTTTTCGTTTCCTTAGAGTACGAATTTCCAAATACCCTTTGGTACATCTGCCCTGTACTCCATTACTCCTTTCAGAATTCTAGCTAGTTTCGTTTGTCCAGAACAAAGTATTCAATTTTTAGTACATTTCAGTACTTGTCGTAATCTTTTTAGTACGATTTCCAAAAAACCTAGCCCCATCGCACGTCTAAGCAGCGAGGCTGGCCCTCATGCAAAATTTCAAAATTTCCCCAACAAAGTGTCAATATTTTAAATATTTACAACATTTATAAATTGTATATAATTGTCTTCAAATTGCGCATATCGCAATACTTTAATTAACCCACGGTCATGTGTGAAGATGGAATACATCGCTCAACTCCTTCTGGTACCTTCCTCACAGAGGGTCAACACTTTTGAATATGCACGAAGCTCATAAAACCACAAAATAACATCCGATTCGATTCAGACTTGATACATCTTAATATTTCTATTAACACAAAATCTGTTATTAAGATGGTAGAGATCGAAACAGTCGTCTTGGTACCTCCCCACAAAAGGATCAAATTTTTGAATAAACAAAAAGATTACAAAATCAGAAATCAGCATTCGGTTCTCGTCATATTTCACACATACCTATTATCTCTACTTACACAAGATATGCTGTGAAGATGGAATATATCCACTCCTTCTGATACCTCCACCACAAAGGGTAAAATTTTGAATATCCATGAAGCTCATAAAATGCGAAATTAACATCCGATTCAATGCAGACTTGATGCATCTTAATATTTCTATTAACACAAAACCTGTTATAACCAGTAAAGAAAGTCCTAAAGTCGGGCGGGGCCGATTTCATGATACCCTACACCACTTCGCTAATTTAGTTGAGCTCCACTTAATAATTAAAAGTTTTTATGGGAGAATTCAATCATACACGCTATGATTATAATTATAATTTAAAATTCAAAGGACTAAATATGCCGAAGCATATGCGACTTGTATTGCCCATTTGGTGCGAAATTAATTTGAAATCGGATAAAAATATATATGAGAACTATATCCAAATCTGAACCGATTTCAATAAAATTTGGCAAAGATATTTCTAAGCTGTATTTGATATATTTCCCTGAATATCGTTGTTACGGAGTGTATATTACGGCTGTCGGTAACAAATATAACAAATCGAATGAACAATATATATGGGAGCTATATCTATATCTGAACCGAACTTCACCAAATTTGGTATACTACCTTCTAGACTAAATTCGATCGTATGTGCCAAATTCCATCCCATTTGGACAAATATTAGACGTTTGGTGCACAATAAATGGTAAACCGGACGAAGTGATATATGGGAGCTATATCCAAATCTGAACCGATCTCGATAAAATTTACCAAAGGTATTTCTGAGCTGCATTTGATATATTTCCCCAAATATTGTTGTTACAGAGTGCATTTTAAGGCTGCGGAGGGCAAAAATAACAAATCGGATGAACAATATATATGGGAGCTATAGCTATATCTGAACCGATTTCGATAAAATTTGGCATACTTATTTTCAGGCCTAATTTGGTTGTATGTGCAAAATTCCATACTATTCGGGCTACCTTCTAGACTAAATTCGGTCGTATGTGCCAAATTCCATCCCATTTGGACAAATATTACACGTTTGGTGCACAATAAAAGGCAAATCGGACGAAGATATATATGGGAGCTATATCTAAATTTTTACCGATTATCTCCAATTTCAATAGGGTTCGTCCTTGGGCCAAACGAATGTTGTTTGCAAAATTTCATCTCAATCGGATAATAAATGCGACCTGCATTTTGTTCACAAGAATACATGGACAGACGGACGGACGGACAGATGGGCTGGCATGCATAAATCAACTCAGAAAGTGATTCTATGCAGATCATCAAAAGGAACTATGGGTCTATCTCGTTTCCTTTTGCCTGTTACAAACAAATGCACAAAGACATAATACCCTGACCACCTTGTGGTGTAGGGTATAAAAATGGTAGAGATCGGGCCATTTCTTCGGGTACCTCCCCCACATAGGGTTCAATATTTTAAAAAAGAAAACGCTCAAAGAAAGTGAAATAAGCATTCAACTCTCTTCAAAATTCAAATCTTCTGCTAGCACAAGATATGATGTGATCATGATATACGCTACCAATATCACGGTAACGAGCGATGGTACGAGACACAAAAGATTTATTCACATTTAATTGCTGGAGTGCTCTAACGATAGCCACTTGTGGTATTCCACTCAAATATAAATAAATTACACTACCACGCTCGAATTCTATCACAAATAACTTTTTTCTGGAAAATTCTCACCAAAATGTTTCTGTAGGGTTGTAAACAATATAATGAGCTGTCAATGGAATAATTTTAACAGCTGTCGGACGAGTGGCTTAGAAATGACAGCAGTCTGAAGTTGGTTGCAGTTTTTTCATCTCACCCTGTATATCTGCGAACCACTTCTGGTACTTTTGTCATAAATTGCAAAACAAATTAGAGATTTCTTACAATTTGCTAATCTAAGCATTTCTCCCAACCAGAGACCTGAGATGAATATGGAATATAAGATTTCGCATAAAATTAGATCAAAATGATTTTCTCGTAATTTTGCCCATATCAATATTTTTGTCTGTATGAGATGAAGTATGAAAACTAAATACTTCTGTCGACTATATGTGGTACCTCATGAACATTTTAACATTTGCTAAAAATTATCACATATCTCATATAAAGTGAAGAAAGCAACCAATATGATCCAAAACTGGCTCGTCGCCAAATTTATATCATATTTATTTAGGTCTGACAATATTGGGTCATTCATCAGGAACCTACTCCATTGAGGGCCAATAATTTGAATAACAGAAATCAAAATATATTTAAATAATCGAATATTGGCTGAGGGTATAAATCTGTGGGCAAAACCGACTAATACTTTTTAACTTGTTAAAAAAAAAAATATTGGGAAAACATCTTCCTTAAAAAATACTTTGTTAGGTTTACTTATAAATCGGAGTATATATCTAAATTTATGAAATTTTAATAAATAAACCAATATTCAATTCTTTTACAACTTTTTACGCAAATATATACCTTTATAACTGATTACATTTATATAACTTTTATTTCTTATTCTTTCCAATTTTAGAACGAGGCCACACCAAAACCCAATTCAAGAGAATCCAAGCTGACGGGTATACCACAAATCGATTACATTTGGGATCCCAACTTGCCCAGAGAATTGAGAGGGTAACACATTGCTACAACTACAACTAATTAGTTCAACTTGAGACTTTTTTGAATTCTATTGTACTAATTGATCATTTTTTAATTTTTATTTTTCCCATTTCACAGCTACAATTTGTCCTCGTATCCATTCTTAGCAACGACCCCTGCCGATGAAGATATCCATTTTAAGTGTGATGGTTTGCATGATGGCTTCTATGCATCCATAGAATATAAATGTCAGGTAAGTTGCAATAAATAAATGAATAAAATATACAATATTTTGAAGAAAAGAAAAATATTACCAATTATTTTAAACATTTCATTAATTATGACAACGTCAATCCAATAGAACATGATAATAAACAGGTGCAAAAATCTAATATAAGAAGTGATTTATTTATCCAAATGATACTGCCTAAAGATAAATTCTCACCTTATTGTCAGACTTAATCCCATTTTTCTTGTTTTTTTTTTAACTGTAACACCATGTTGTGGGGGTATAACAAGTTTGATTGGGCCAAAAATTGTGTAACACCTCGAAATATTGTTTCCCGACATAGGAAACTATATACGGCTCTTCCTATCTCGCCGAGATGAGCCCATCTAGCTTTGTTTGTCCGTCCGTCTGTCCATGTCAAATACATTAAAAGGTCAGTTGTGACTATTGCAGTGATGCTGGTAGCCAGAACATTCAATATGTAGCAAAATAGTTACTAATTCTGATCAATTCAGAATTGTCTCTTGGCAGAAAAGCATGAAATGTAGGAAAATCCAGGAAAAATATGGGAATATTTTTTTATCGCATGCGATTTTTTTTCTATTTGACTAACAATTTTGAATTGTACATTTTCTAACGTTGTTCTACACCCCGTAACACTATATGTTGAAGGAAGGTATACAGGTCGCAGTACATTGTCGTATCCTCAAGAAAATCTAGCATGATTGTAGGGTTAGGGTCAGAATTAAAGCCCATTGTTTTTGAAAATGTACACTTAGGGGTTCTAATGGACAAAAAAAAGAAACAAGTAAAAAAACTGTAAGTAACTTGAAAAAAAAAATCGTTGAATAATGTAGCTAAAATCATCAAAATATCGAATATAGGAAGGTACAATTATATGGGGGCCATACCAGAACGTGGACCTGCACAGACAATTTTCTGTTATGAGCTTTAGTATTCATTACGAACTTCAAATACCAAATTTTAAACAATTCTGGTGAATAATATCCCTAAAATAATAAAAATACCGAATATCGGAAGATACCGTTATATGGGGGCTATACGAAGCCGTGGACATGCACAGACAAATTTCTGTCATGGACTGTAGTATCCATTACGGACTTCAAATTCCAAATTGGAATCGATGCCGGTGAATAATGTCGCTAAAATCATCAAAATACCGAATATCGGGAAGTACCGTTATATGGGGGCTATACGAAGACGTGGACCTGCATAGACAATTTTCTTTCACAGGCTGTAGCATCCATTACGAACTTCAAATACCAAATTTAAAACAATTCCGGTGAATAATGTCCCTAAAATTATAAAAATACTAAAAATAGGGAGGTACCATTATATGGGGGCTATACGAAGTCGTGGACCAAAAATCCTGCAGATATTTTATACGTTTGAGTAAAATTTTATCAAACTACTTCATTTCGTTCGGAAGCTATAGATGGAGGAAGGACATCGCTAAATCGACATAAAATTTTATGCTGATCAAGAATGTACAGGGTTGCCCATATTCGACGGACCCATCTGGCAACGCCATAACTTTTGACAGAGATGTCACATCGCTCAATGACATACCGCGTTTGAAGCGTCAGTCCAAGCAGATTTTTACCATGAACCAATACACGCCACGCGAGCGCTCAGAAATTTACATTCAACAGAAGAAGTCAATTGTGAAAACTCAATGTGTGAAGAGGCCATATAAAAGTCGACCAAGCCAGTGTTGAGAGGTCCCCAAGAACATCCCAAAAACGCCATTCTCAGCAGTTGGGCATGGCTCGGTCCACTTTACAACGGATTATTCGCATTGATTTGCATTTGTTCCCGTACAAAATTCAATTGACGCAAAGAATGTTGCCTGCGGACAAGCCCCGTCGATTGGAATGGGCCGAAAGGGCCCAAAGGTCCGTCGAATATGGGCAACCCTGTATATACTTTGTTGGGTCTAAAATATATTTTTCGAGGTGTGACAAACAGAATGACAAACTTAATATAAACTCCATACTATAGTGGGCGGTATAAAAATTAAATGAAATGTTCCTGATTTTGCATTCGCCCTACAGGTCACAATTGAAAACCAATCGACACAGATTTTTGCATGAAGAGAGAATTAAGGACAGGAAAGACGTCGAGCATTTTGAATGACCAATGGATTATATTAAGATGTAAAATGGGCCACAGCTTTTGTTGCGGAGTGTGGCGGAGTGCCTAAATAAAGAAAATCTTCCAAAATAGATTTGGACACAAGAGTATCACATGGTCGGCCCCGCATAACTTTAGCCTTTGCTTACTTGTTATAAATACCATGCTTTTTTTTTATTCTCATAAGGAATATATACGAGTATGACAAAAAAATATATAGACCCAAATGCCGTTCACCGCACTGTTCCACATGACCTTGACCCATTAAAGCATTCACATTGAAAGTAATTTTAAAGTGATTTTCCTAGTTTAGAGAACAATTACATTTACACTGTTCTTTTGGAATGGCTTGTAACCCCTCTTGACCTTGCCATGCAATTGTGTAGCATTTTTTATTTTATTTTATTTTTTTTTTTGGTTTGTTGATCTTGACCCAAAAATAAATGAAATGGTATGCTGCTACCTGTAATGCCTAAAGCTGCTGCCAAAAAAACCTATCATTATTTGCTCGCTTTTGTCTCTAATACCGGTTTTTGTCGTTCACACCGTTTTTTTGGACAAACGAAATTAAGTAATTATGTGTGAGAGTTTTTTTTTATATTAGCATCGGTTTATTAAAAAAAAAGCTATACATAAAAAATGTCTACAATGAGTAGGTTTACCACGTGATAGTTTACACCCACCATCTGTACTTTGTATAAAGCATGGCAGTGAGATATTTGAATACCAGTTGGCATAAATTGAAACATAAATCTCTGAGATTGAATTTAAAGAGATAATATTTCATGAGAAATACATATTTAAATAGGAGTGCTGTTTTTACCGGAAATGCAAAAACGTGGGCATTATTTTATATATCGGATTTCAAGAAATAAATCGAAATATTCGTACGAGGTTCCAAAAAGTATCAATATTGTTGACCTGACTAACTACTGACTACTTTTCTGCTTTAGTCAAGTCACATTAGAGTCAGACTATTTTCACATTTCGTTTGTAACTGGTCGAAATAATCAGATTACACCTTACAAACTTACTCGATCAGAAAAATGTTGGAATTTTATTGGAGATACCGTAGATATTATGGTTTTGTAAAATAATCAGGCTTAGTCCATTGTTGTTGCTTTCATAAAAAAGCACAATAAGAATTTGTACTTTTTCTTATAGGACCCACATTAGGGTATCTCCAGGTACTTAGCTTTTTTTTATTTGTGTCGGGATATTATAAGTTTGTTTAGGCCATATTGGTCCCCGACATAGGAAACTATACTACAGGGTGAGATGAAAAACTGCAACCAACGTCAGACTACTGTCATTTCAAAGCCACACGTCCGAGAGCTGTTAAAATTATTCAAGTGACAGCTCATTATATTGTTTACAAGCGGAAGAAAACAGCAACTTCAGCAGAAATTGTTCAAAAAGTAAAGAAGCGACTTGATCGAAACCCGCGTCGCAGTGGCCGAAAAATGTCTCGTGAGCTGAACATATCGCAAAATTCCATTCGGCAAATATTGAAAAATGAGTTCGGGGTTAAAGCCATTGAAATTCCAAAAAGTGCAAAAACTTACACCGCAACAGAAAGAAAATAGACTCTAAAGGGCTAAAAAGATGCTTCGCTTGGTCGAAAATGGTGAACTGCCGAATTTGGTTCTCTCCGTCTCCGATGAGAAAACATTCGATGTCCAGCAGTTTGTAAACAAACAAAATGTTGGTGTGTACTTGCCAAAGAGGCCAGCTAAAAATGTGCTCTTTCGGTTGGCCACCAAAACTCAAGCACCGACCCTGGTGATGGTGTGGGCCGCAATAATAGACGTTGGTCGCTCTCCGCTCGTATTAATCGACCGTGGCATCAAAATAATTGACAATTGTTATCGTGAAAATATTCTGGAGGATGTATTAAAGCCTTGGGCACGCAAACATTTTGGCCGCAGACCTTTGACATTCCAACAGGACTCAGCACGCGCCAACCAAGAATGGTTACAAAATGAGGTTCCTCGCTTCATTTCCAGCGCACAATGGCCACCAAAATCTCCGGATACCGTGACTATCCGTTGGACTATTGTTTCTGGAGTATTTTGGAAAGCCAGGTTGGCACTAAAAGAAACCAAAGTGTCGATCAC